TCAAGAATTTAAAATTTTTCGAAAGATAAAAACAGAAGGAATTGGTAAATAATTGATAAATACACTTACCCAAATGAATCTCCTCAAGACACCCCTAAAAAATATCGTCTCCTAAGCTCCCAACCGAGTGAAAAATGGTGGAATGTGAAAAATGGGATGAATTCCCGAATATACACTTCTAAGTCTGAAAATTGGGGTCCGAAAATGTGGGCCAAGTGTCGCAAACGCGGCCTACTAGACTGTTGAGGCTCGTGAACGCGGGAATATCTCCGCGATCGCGGAGCATAGTGCACTTGCAAACGCGGACAAATCCTCTTACGAACACAGTGCCTCAGGTACCCTCCTTCCCTGAACACCGTAGGAAACTCACAAACGTGGGACTCTTGCACCAGAAAACAAAAAAAGGCTAAGTTCAAGTCTCTGATATGAATCTAATAAATATAAATTGGACATGCTACCCCATTAGAATCGGCATTCCAGACTCAATGGAATCATCATATTTCCGAAAAGAGGTCAAATTATGAAATTCCCTCCCGGAACACTCTTAAGGCTAAAATTCAACTTCTGACCCAAACACTCAAAACTCAACCCAAGGCCTCGGAACCTTACCAACCGCCGGACTAGCTCAAACTCGCTGTTACGGACGTGGTGGAACTGACAGAATTCCCATCCAACGCTCAAAACTCAAAGTGTTGACCAAAGTCAACCCTATCAAGAATTCTCAACTCAAGAGGGGTCAAATCACCAAAAGCACACACGATCGCATCGGGGATTGCACCAACCATTCCAGAAAAACAAACTAAGCATGAAAAAACTACGGGGAAGGTCAAAATGGTTATTTCACAATTAAAAGCAAATTCACAAGAAATGGAACATTACAATAACAAACATGTATTAAATTAGTGGCGGAGCCACATACACTTGATGAGGGGTGTCCTCCCCTTCATCTGAAAATTATATTGTGTAGCCAGATAAAGATATTTTTTATGTGTATATATATCCCATATTGACTGGCTTCTAGCAATTTTACTTCTTTATATTTTGACACTCCTTAGTGTAATGACCCTAAAGGTCATTTTTGGAAATTTTCATAAAATGACCGTTTTACCCCTCCCGATAGTTGCCCCGAGTCCTAATTGTTGTATTTTCGAAGTTGGTTTGAAGGAAAATTGATGAAAAGTTGAGTTTTTGGAAAGTTGAGTTTTTAAGAGTTAAAGTTTGGTTAAAAGTGTTATTTCGAGTCATTTGGAGTTTCGAGACTCGAATCGGATTTCCGTCGATTCCAGCAGTTTTAGAATGTCGAAACGGGTCTATGAGAATTTACAGAGTCGAATTTGGAGTTAAAACGAAGATTTGAGGTCCTAAGTTGCTAAAATTGTGAAATTTTGATCAAGAGTTGACTTTGGTCAACAAACGAGGTTTCGGTGCTCGAAATGGAATTCCGAGGGCACCGTTGGATTCAGGGGGTGATTTTAAGTCTAGAATGAGTCTTGGTTGAATTTTTAGAGGCCCCAAGTGCGTTTCGAGTTTTTGAGCCTAAAGTTAGTTTCTTGACGCCTTATCGGATACCGGGTCAAGGAGACCTCGAATTCAAATTCCAACGATTTCATTGAGTCTGAAATGTCATTTTCAAGCTAGTAGCATATTTGGTTTGTGTTCGGGAAGTGCCAAATGAGTTTTGGGTGAGCTTTTAAGCTTCTTGGATGCTTTGACACTATTTCAGCAAATTATGGCAACTAAAGGGTTCATTATTAGTTTTAAAGGTCGAAAAATTATTTCGAAAGTTCTGAAACTTTGAGCATGAATTATAGGACTTATCTGCAAATTTTGGTACATTTTCGCTAACCCGAGATTGGACTTTTATCGCAAATAAGAAATAATTGTTTACCAAGTAGAAATGATATTTGACTGGGCAAACGAGCATGAAATTGAGCTCCGATTGAACGAGCAGGTCCGTATCATTATTTAAGACATTTACAAAAAATAATCGGGTCATTTCACTATCGTATGAGGAAATTACGGCCTTTTTAGTGAAAGATTAACTGCTGTTTTTCTGGTGCATAACAGTCATGTACTGTTATAAAAATCTCAGATTGTGTTCATTTGGTATTTTGAGCATATCGGGAGTTCTAGAGATCGGAATGGAGTGATTCTTACGGGTTTCTTCTTGAATTAATATGAGGGTTAGTATTCAATCTTCAATTCGACATTTTCTCATAATTTATTTATCTGGGTTTTTTTCCTCTCCGTAAATCTCTTGGGAAAAATTGGGGTTTTATCGATTTGGACTCCCTTTTTGATGAAAAAGGTATATTTACGATCCTTATGTTATGGGTAAACTGATTTTAACATAAAATTATTGATTCATCGATTATTTTCATCATATTAACCGCGTACAATTTGGACTTTCCCAGTAAAGTTAAAGTTTGATAAATTGAGAATTTCAAGGTCGATCTTAACTCTGTTTTTTATGAAATATCATATTTGAACTTATCTAAGCATGGGTAAGATGTTTTTCAAGAGATATTTCATTTTCGAGTCGGGGTTTCGGATTCGAATATTTTAGGCTTCTTCAAGAACATGAATTTTCCTTCAAATTGAGTTTGTGAATTGATTTCAACTCCGTTTTCAAATTGGTTTTCACCATTAGCTTCCAAATACTTTAAGGATCATTTTACATCAAAAATTTCCAGATTTGGGTATCATTTTCCGGTATGAGACTTTTGGACCGTTTTGCCCTTTTTCCCTAAATTTCTTGATTTTGGTGTCATTGGACTCGAATTGTGATTGTGAATAATTGTTTGAATAGATTATCGTGATCCGGATTATACTCGAAAAGGAAAGACTCAAGTCAAGTAACTTTTGGAGTTCGTTTTAAGGCAAGTGGCTTCCAAACTTTGTAAAACTCTTAGACTACGCATGACTACTTTCCTAATTGTGTTGGGGAGTAATGAGGATTGAGGATGGGTTTTATTTGTTGATTGAAATTGTTGTAAATGAAAGATGGAGAATAAAACGAGCTAAATGTGTTATATGTGACTTGAATTTGTTGAATAAGTCATGTGATAACTGATATTGAGGGGATAGAAGAGCATGAGTAGGCTATGATTGATACAGACATTGATATTGAGACAGATGATGTGTAATACTATGATGTGGTCGTGATATGGTTGTGATTGAGACAGGTGATGTGTAATACTATGATGTGGCCGTGAATTGGTTTTGATTGAGACAGGTGATGTGTAATGCTATGATGTGGTCGTGATATGGTTGTGATTGAGACATATGATGTGTAATACTATGATGTGATCGTGATATGATTGTGATTGATGACATATGCATATTCATTATTCATCTCATGTGTGAACTATCTGTTGCATGAGTTCTGAGACACTGATATGAGGATGGATGGATATGAGATACAGTTGACACTAGCTCTGGCTAGAGATATATGAGATGGACTAGCTCCGGCTAGCGATTTGGATGCCGATGGGATCTCGTTCCAGCGGTGATACATGGTCCATGTGTGGCCCCCATGGGTTATGATTTGAGTATTCAGCGCGGACTGATTACGTCAACAGATGTGTATCGTAGGACAGACATGCATCACGACTACATGACATCATTATTGCATTTTGCATCGCATTTGCCTTATCTTTGTCTGTGATGTGTGGATTGTATTGGTTTACCCTTCTTATGTGGAATTTGATCTACTTGCTCTTATTTGTTGATCGGAGGTTGATGAGGATATACTGTTGGTTCTGACTGTTGAATATGATCTGTTTAGTATAGGTTGGTTGGTTTGCTGCTAGATTGAAGTTTCGGTGGTTCGGTTGGGATTGAAAGGAGTTGTTTGTAGCTGCTAGTTTTGCTTAGTTTAGAGTTACTTGCGAGTACCTGTGGTTTTCGGTACTCACCCTTGCTTCTACACAATTGTGTAGGTTGACAGCTCTCTCTCAGATTCGGCTTAGTATTTTCTTTAGCAGATTGAGCTTCGGGACATACTCGAGAGGTAGCGGTTCATTCCAGACGTGCCCTTGAGTTATCTTTACTTTCAGTTTTGTTCTATTCGAGAACTATACTCTGAGACTTGTATATTTTTATTCGAATTCTGTATTTAGAGGTTTGTACATGTGACAACCAAATTCTAGGTAGTGTTGAGTCTTAATTAAAGTCTTTCGCTTATTTATTATCTTTTATTCTCGTATTTCTACTTCTCTATCGTTGTGGTTGGGTTAGGCTGACGTGTCCGGTGGGAAATGGACACGTGCCATCACATCCGGATTTGGGGTGTGACACTTAGTCAAAATTCTTGTTCTGCCACTGAATTCAATATTAACTATCTTTATATTTTATATCAATTATATTTATATTTGTATCAATTGTGTTATAACAATTTGTATTCTAGTTCAAACAATGCTTCACATAATACGTCAAACACACACACACACACATATATATATATATATATATATATATATATATATATTCATTATCAACTATATTTATATTTGGTATCAATTGCATTATTACTATTTGTATATACAAGTAAAATGAAACACGAAATGATTAAATAACATATTTTGAACTCCCTTAACATAACAAGTTGTTAATTGATATAGCCCAGTGGTTTCATGTCCTTAGAATGAGGAAGTGCTCGTGTGTTTGAATCTCATTACTTATACTTTTTTAAAAGAGTTTTTGTTGTGCTATTTTTGGACACCCTTTGTGAAATTCTTGGTTCCGCCGCTATTTGTATAGAGAGTAAGAAAGAGGGAAAGAGTCCTTATCTAGTGATATCTATATCTTTGATCTCATTGGGTATCAAAATCCCATGTGTAGCAATTAATGCAACTTGGCAATCTCTAATCCATCAATTTCCCATGATGTTACAAGGGGGGCCCAACCAATTGTAGTTCTCTCATATGTGATTGTTGAGATTAATTATAATATGATATCTCTTAGAAATAGCCAATGAATTATTACATTATTGGCTGCATATACACCGAAGTATATTAATAAAAATGGAGCACTGGAAGGACCTTAGCGGAAAAGTAGTGATGGTGACGGGTGCATCGTCAGGAATCGGGTTAGAGTTCTGTCTCGACTTGGCCAAAGCCGGTTGCAACATCATTGCTGCTGCTCGTCGTGTTGACAGACTAAAATTTCTATGCAACCAAATTAATAGTAATTCAAAGGGACCTCCACGTGCAATCGCGATCCAACTTGATGTTACAGCTGACGGTGCTACAATTGAGTCCGCTGTACAAATAGCTTGGGATGCATTTGGACGTATTGATGCCTTGGTTAACAATGCCGGCATTACAGGTAATCTATAATTGAGTAAACATTTGAGGTATACGATAAGAAATTTTAATTTTAAAGTATGTAATGTGTATAGGTAATGTGCACTCTTCACTAGAATTGCCAGAGAAGGAGTGGGACAATGTCTTTAACACGAACCTAAAAGGGGCATGGTTGGTGTCTAAATATGTATGTAGACGTATGCGCGATGCTAAACAGGATGGAGGTTCTGTTATTAATATCTCTTCAATGGCTGGTTTGAATCGGGAAGTATTCATAGGGCTGCTTGCTTACGCTTCTTCAAAAATGGCTCTTGACATGCTCACTAAGGTACCTACTTTACAAAAAAGAATTCAAAATTTCTTTTATAAAAGTATTTCATTTTTCTTATTTCATTTTTCCCCCTCAAATACTAATTTAGATATTATTTTATCTTTTTTTAAAAATAATTCTACCCTTCTCACCTAACCTTCCGCTTCCATTTTTTCTCATTTTGTGTTAGATATATACATATTGAAAATATTTTTTACTTGCCGCGGCAAGACTTTTTTAATTAATTTATTTATTTATGTTATATTCGATGCACTAGTAGAATTTTTTTTTCTAAAAATATATGTATGTACATATCTAACACAAAATGAGAAAAATATAAAAAAAATAAAAATTAGGATTGGAGGGATTTTTATTTTTTTTGGGGGGGGGGGGAGGAGGGAGGTGGTAGAGTGGGGTAAGAAAAATAATTTAAATTTTATTTTTAAATATTTAATATTAATAGTTTATTATTTAATTTTTATTAAGGTGGAATATTTTTTTTATGTGGAATGTGGTGTGTCAAAGTTTTTTCAAATAAAAGAGAGAGTGCATTACACACACCATTTATGTGTGTTTCTCAAACTAAAAAGTGATAGTTTAGGTATGAAATTCACACTCTCAATAGTTTAGGTATGAAATTCACACTCTCAATAGTTTATGTATGAAATTAAAAAAAAAAATAGTTTAGATGTGTTTTTGACACTTACCTCAATATATATTAATGAATGACAGATTATGGCGGTTGAATTGGGAGTAGACAAGATCAGAGTGAATTCAATAGCCCCAGGATATTTCAAATCAGAGATAACAGGGAGCCTTATGGAAAAGAAATGGTTCGATAATTATACTAGGAGAACCGTTCCTCTAAGAACATTGGGAACGATAGATCCAGCTTTAACATCAATGGTGAGGTACTTAATTCACGATTCTTCTGAATATGTTTCGGGTAATGTCTTCATCGTTGATGCTGGAACTTCCTTACCAGGTGTCCCCATTTTCTCATCACTCTAATCATAAAGGTGGATTCTTCATTTGAAGTTTATAGATTCTCATAACGATCTCAGGTTAATATAAAATATTGATTTAGTTCATAAAAAATATACACACATATATAATGGTGTATCTACTATGTTGGAGATAAATGTCAATAAGGGTTTATTTTGCCTTTGATGTGATAAGCCCACTGAGAAGTTATTGTATTATTGCAAAGTATATCTAATATGCGGATTAATTTGGGAGATTTTTATATTTGACTTGAATTATAATTTAGACTTTTCTACTTACGATTTTATCTAATGAGCACTCAAATTTGATGAAACTCAACTTTTTAAACCACTTTAACGTAAAGTAACTCTCAATCACGTTGATGTTGCAGTTTGTGTCACATAAAATTTGCAATCACTTCAAAATCCAAAACAAAAATTGAATTTGTTTTAGGAAGGAGTTAATTTTTTTAGGAGCTAAAAATGGAAGAACAAAAAATTGAAAGGGCAATCAGTTCAAAATCCAATAATTTTCACTTATCAAGCAATTGATTTTACAAAGAAAGAATAAATATTATCTATTAGTCAAATATTTTTTTGGCAATAAGTCTATTTTGGATTTTTTCTAAAATAGATTGAAAATAGCCACAAAAGATGGAGAACTTTTCTTAGGTCATTTCGTCTTCCTTTTCTTTTTTTTTGAGCAAATTTATACCACCAGACAGTGGTCTAGTGGCTTTTTTTATTAATAATAAACAGAAAAAAAAATTCTCAATAGGACTAAGTATAAGTAAGGAAGGCTAGGCCTTATTTTATCAATCCTATTGTGATACCTATCCTCTACTAATTAACAATCATGAAGAAAATACGAGCTAAAGAGAACTAGATATTTTATGATCATCATAAAGTTTATAATATACTCTATGATGATATTACAAGTGAGGATTCTTAAGTAATAAAAAATCATAAAAGCCAATGAGAAAGTTGAGTTATCAACCTCAAACTTCCTTTTACAAATGTATGAACTAAAAGAGATAGATTGACCATCTAAAGAAACTTGAAGTATGTTTCTCTTGTCTTCTTCTTCAAATCTGTCCAATAACACTTGATAGTTCTTCACTTCTTGGTTTTATTGGATAGTTGTTGACATTGTCATATGATTCTGTTTCGCCAGTCGCATTGATAGATGTCTTGGAACAAACTCCTCAATCACTTTACCATCCTAACTATGCTTTCTTCCATGCTTCGTAATATGCAGCACAAGCAAAAATAATATTGGACAAACTTATTCGTGTTTAAAATTTAGTTACATCACAAAAATGATTTCAAGACAAGCCTAGTAAAAAGAGCCATATATCAAAATAATTTCGATGGTACATATATTATAGGGAAAATAATTATTTTAGTCCCTGTGTTATTGCCTTATTTTGGTTTTGATTCCTGTGATATCTTACTTCCCAGGTTTAACCTTTAATTAATTATAATCAATTATTTTAGTCCTTCTACTAACGGTGATAACCAATACAAACAGATTTGTTATTTGTGTAAAGGGCAATTATTCTACTTCACATAATATTATATTACTATAGTTAAAAAAAAAAAACAGATTCACGTGACAAACACATTTCACAAGAAATTGTTCTGTCCAAAGTAAAGTTTAGAAATTGTAAAAGTTAAGTGTTTATAATATTACTTTTGTAAAGCTCTTTCTCTCTCCATATCTTTGTAGATTTTTTTCACTTTATTTAAGAATCTATGTTTAGTTATGAAAATCTAAAATTCTAACTTCAAATATAATTTGAAATTGGTTGAACAACTTATAATCTACTTTTCAACTCATTTTTCATTTTTAGAAATCCTGTTTAAGTACAGTTCAACATGAACATTATTCCACCTATCTTGGCAAGAATTATAATCAAACATAACTTAATTATTTCTTGGATCTAAAGGCTCTGACTATATCAAAAGGCCAATACCAATTATTATAGGAAAAATTATTAACTACACACAATTTATTATCATATTTTTTTTATTTTCCCTATCATTTCGAAAAATATCAAAAATTCCTTCTTTTCCTCCCATCATCCCCTTTTTCGGATACATTAATTTGAAATCTCATACCCATATTTTCCTTCCTTTTTTCACGCCACAAATCTCTCCATAATTACATCAATTAATCTATTTTTGAATTTCAAATCTTTTCTATTTTCAATTAATGATTTCAAATTATTCAAGAGGTAGATTTCTTTCCATCACTTCAATTTCCAATTTATTTTTTTAAAAAAAATCATCTTAAAAAATAAAAATAAAATTACCTCTGCCCCTTGCCCCATTGAAATCTTATTGAACCTTTGCAATTTTAGTTAATCATATCGTCGTTGAAAATTTTTCTTGAAAAATATTTATTTTCTTTTAATGTATCTACTGTTGAAAAACGTCCAAAAAAAAAAAGAAGAAAAAAGTTGGATCTGCCATTGCACGGCAATCACTATTAAAGATACATATTTTTAATGTATCTCATTTATTTTGAGCCTTAAATTAGTCTTTGTTAGTGTTATCATTGATCTGATACATCACTGCTATAATAACATTTGTTTTATGCAATGTATCATATTCATATTTAAGATATTGATACATAACTCTACTATTGTTGAATCTTCGATTAATGTTTATCATGTTCAATATAAATGTACTTGATACATAAACTTTGTGTTATGTATTATACACACAAACGTGATATTTAACTTATATATAAGCAAACGTGATGATGACCTGTTTTTCTTTATTTAATATATTGCGTGAATTATTAGCCCCCTCTAATATATTATCCTCTTCTTAGACATTATTGCCTACAAAGTTTTAAAAAATCATTTTCTTTAACAAAGAATTGGAAAAACTTCTAAATTTGACGAGAATTTTAAGTGTATTTCACTAATATTACAAGATCGAAAGTGTATTTTGGTTCAGTTAATCAAGTAAAGGGTGTTTTTAAGTATTTCATCCCTTTATTTTTATTTGTTCACGGTATTAAAAATAGATATTCATTTTTACTTGTTTAAATTGAAAAATGAAGAGATAACTTATCATTTAGTTATTAATTAGCCATTATTATTAACTTATATAAAGTCATTTAATTTTCTAAAATATTGAATTTATTATATTCAAATGCTGATACAATAATATTGACATTTTATTTTCTATTTATTATATATCCATGAGGTGTGTCATGTGTGTGCAATAAAAATCTATCCCACTAGCTATTTTCTTGAGTATTTAAATCTCAAAATTACGTTATAAGTACTCGATGTCTCGATCTGTGCATTATTACATTATTGGTTGCATATACACCAAAGTATATTAAAAATGGAGCCATGGAAAGACCTTAGCGGAAAAGTAGTGATGGTGACCGGTGCATCGTCAGGAATCGGGCTAGAGTTCTGTCTCGACTTGGCCAAATCCGGTTGCAAAATCATTGCTGCTGCTCGTCGTGTTGAGAGACTGAAATCTCTATGTGACCAAATTAATAGTAATTCAGAGGGACCCCAAAGTGCAATCGTGGTCCAACTTGATGTTACTGCTGATGGTGCTACTATTGAGTCCGCGGTACAAATAGCTTGGGACACCTTTGGACGTATCGATGTCTTGGTTAACAATGCCGGAGTTACAGGTTATTATTATTATTATTAGTATCTAATTGAGTATACATTGTTACATGTTGTGGTACGTTCAAGAAATTTTAATTTTTGAGTATGTAAAATTAGTTGCTTAATTTGATTATTATTGTATAGGTAAGCACTCTTCATTGGAATTGTCAGAGGAGGAGTGGGACAATATGTTTAACACGAACCTAAAAGGGGCATGGTTGGTGTCCAAATATGTATGTAGACGTATGCGCGATGCTAAACAGGGCGGAGGGTCTGTTATTAATATATCTTCCATGGCTGGTTTGAATAGGGTAGTATACATAGGGACTTTTGGTTACGCTTCTTCAAAGATGGCTCTTGACATGGTTACTAAGGTACGTACTTACAGAGAAGGATTCAGAATTTTAAGTGACTAGATAGTCATTACTCTCTCCATCTTATTTGATTTTTATTTTTTTTTGACTATATATGCATTCAAACTTACATAAAAAGTGTTATAGGTAAGAAAAATTATATTTGCATTAAGTATTCAAATATATTTAATGAATGGCAGAATATGGCGATGGAATTGGGAGTAGACAAGATCAGAGTGAACTCAATAGCACCAGGATATTTCAAATCAGAGATAACAGAGGGGCTTATGCAAAATAAATGGTTCAATAATGTTACTAGGAGAACTATTCCTCTAAGAACATCGGGAACGATTAATCCGGCTTTAACATCAGTGGTGAAGTATTTAATCCATGATTCTTCCGAATATATTTCAGGCAATGTCTTCATCGTCGATTCTGGAACTACCTTACCAGGTGTCCCCATTTTCTCATCACTCTAGTCATAGAGATGGATCCTACCTTTGAAGTTTATGACTTCTTACAACGAATTAAATTTAATATATAATGCTGAATGAGTTCATAGCCAAATGTTTTTAGAGGAAAAATGATGTTGGTTTTGTCTCACTGTTCAATTGTGTCCAAGTGAAGTATATCTTGATGCAGTTTAAATAAATTCATGCTTGTATAAAGTTTTACATATTTTGTTTTGGTTATGATCTTTGTAAAAGTTTAATTTTCAACCTATGTAGCGTATTGTTGTGGTCTCTATGGTTATTCAGAACTTCGAACAAATTGGATTACAAATATTATGCTTGAAATTTTCTCAAAAATATTTAAATTTTAAAAAAAATGATACAAGACATAGGGCACCAGAACCTCAAGCTCTCTCTCTCTCTCTCTCTCTCTCTCTCTCTCTCTCTCTCTCTATATATATATATATATATAGGGGTATATAGCATGCTTACATGTATATATTTTAGGGGGAAAAGGTACGAGTACCCCCTAGACTATGACCGAAATCCCAAAGACACACCTTAACTAAACTAAGGTCC